GATGAGAAAAGAATATAGAGCAAGTTTGGAGAGGCTGTCCCATCTTACGCTGTCAAAAAAAATTAAAGACAGTCCATGAACAAATCCTCTGAGCATTCGATTATATATGATCAGGTCGAATTAAGACAAAGAAAATAACGAGTTAAGACGAAAGAATTAAATAGTACGCGGATTAATATGTTTTTTTTTTTTGACGTCAGTAGGCGGATTAAATATATTATCTTCAATTTCGACGTGACGCAAGTCGACCATACAATCTTTTTGTTCTTCTAAATTCTAATGATATGTAATTTGCGATATATAATATACTCCAATGGTACACAAGTGTCCAAAATATGAGATTTGATCGATTTATGTATTAGTTTTTAACTTTTGATGAAGAAGTCTATCTGATTAAACTATATGACCCCGTAAGCCAAAAAATATTACACTATATGACCCCTTATTGCATGATATTTATTTTATAGCCAGTATATATGCGTCGACCTATCAATATATATATTTTCATCTAATAATTTTCTTGTCGGCATACTTTCATCTAGTATATATCATGTTGTTATCTCTAAGATTTTGTGAGCCAAAATAATTTTAACAGTAGGGGAGAAAATCAGAAACTGATGCGGCCATTTGCACTAACACATAGTGTTGTTGGTAATTTGTATTTACAATAAAACAAAACTATAAAATTATAAAAAAAAATATAAGCGACATATGAATATATGATGATGATTATGTCTCCCCCTTTATTTTTAAACACCTTGTCTCTACCGTTTTATGTTGGTGTACTATTTATATATATGTTACTGTTAATACATTTTTTTGTCAACTGTTACTGTTAATACATTAGAACCAAAAACTCTGCTGTAAAGGAGTAGAAATTACGAATAAAATTAAACCCTATACAGAAATTTATAACCATCTTATATAATATAGTAAATTTTTTCAAAGTTGAAGTGATGAGAAGCTGTCATGTGTCACATTCTTTTGATATTTGTTTTTCAATTTATTTAATAAAAAAGAAAAGCAAAATTATGTGTCATTTCTTTCATAATTTTGATAATTAATTCTGATAATTTAATGTCTAATTTCTAATGTAATTTAATTTCAACAAGTTACAATTCAGTGTATTGTGTACATTTATATAATTCTTATATAAATTTATGTATAAAAAATATATATTTTTATTTATCAAATTTAACAATATACTATATAAAAAATGTTTAAAACTTTGGTTTTTATATTAGGTAACGTGATCTTAATTTAAAAAATCACAAAGAGAAGTTTTAATAAAATGAAGTATAAKAWYAAAAAAAAAATGATGTGAGACATCTAAAGAACGATTTTAGAACTTTTAAGGATGTTAAAACACTAACGTCTCATTGGAATTTTTTTTTGACTTTTAACGTTTTAAATGCTTTCATAGCTTTCAAAACCAATTTACCTATCATCCTCTAATGCAATTAAAATAATTTGTGTTAAACGAAGTAACGCTCCAAATCAAGACTCTCGAAATAAAACATTACTCCATCACAAATTGTAAATCCAGAAAAACAGAATCACATCATCAAGAAAAAGATGTGAAAGATAAAAATCACAGTAAATCTACAAATAAAGTGAGACACAAATACAATCAACCATCAATTATTCTATTCTTCTGATTCAATGTTCTAATGAAATCAACAGAAATATGCATTCTAACACCTTTATTGAGATGATGCAGATGTCTCGGTAGAAGTAAAGTATAGTATAAGTTGTCTGATCAATAGATTTTTACAAACGTATTTGATGCAAAAAAGATAAGCAATCATTTTTTTAGAAAATCGTAGTGAATACTGATAAAGATATATAAGTTAAGGATTTGTGCCAAATAATATATTTTTCATATGATGTAACGGTCTTTTTCATATAACATTGTATATGTACAACAATTAGTTACAAATTGTTAGTCTTCTAATTTATATAACTATTTACTATAAACACCATCATATCATATTAAATACATAAATGATCAATACACTAAAAATTATTGTACATTTTAACATGTTAATTTTTAAAACCACGCAACGCGTGGACAATCCTAGTATAGCATATTCTTAAAGTTATTAGCCGTTTCAACGAAGAAGAAAAGTTCATTATTATAGTAATGCTTAGGTTAGGCCAATTATTTAGATCCTTACCAGTAATATTATTAACATCCTAAATTGTTGGTGCTGCAACTGAAAT